GAGGGTTCTGCCTTCCAGGCTTTGCCGCCCCAGTGTGAACCGCCCACGCAACTTTCCCACCCTGTGCTGGGAGCGGGGCAGGGCTGGGAGCTGCGGGCAGAAGCTAAGAGAGTCTCACGCTTCACTAATCTGGGACGGGCAGCCACCCAGAACCCATCCTCCTTCCTTCCCCACACCCACTTATGTATCTCAAGGAAGAAGAAAAGAAGGAAAATCTAATAACTGAGTCTGTGTCCTAGAACCCTCTGATTTCTATCCAGGAATCCAAGAGATCTTGTCTCCATGACTTTCATTTCAGGCTACAGCATTTCTGTTTGTAGGTGAGCGAAGATTAAGCACAATATTTATGTAGCTCTCTATCAGAAATGAAACGACTCTTAAGAGTTACTTATTATTTTTCCCCTCAAAACCTGCTTCAGCACTTTATTACTGTCAAAATACAATTTTCATAAAAACTCCCTTCTATTATTTAGTCTTGCCACCTGAGACACATCTAATACATTGCCACATCCAACTCAACCTGTTTTATTCTCCACAGCACTAGGTGGACTGCTAGACACATGGGAGGTACTCAACCTGTATCGGTCGACCTAAAGTAGAAATCTCTAGAAACCTGGAGAGAGAGGCTTCCACTTTTAAAGAAAATTGCCCCTTTGTCCCCATTCTTCACCTGGATAAATCCTGCTTATTCTTGTGCTATCTACCTAAATGTCTAGTCTTCAGAGAACGTCCCTGACTGCCCTCTCAGCCAACGTAATGCAGATTTTACTGAAAACTGAGGAGACTCTTCTTTCCACATCACAATTTGGAATCACATATTTGTGTGATTTGATAATCTAACACCTCCTGTTGGTCCCCAAAGGCAAAGACTGTGACTGTTTTGTTCTGGGCTATATTCCCAGTACCTAGCACATAGAAAGTACTCAAGAAACGTCAGTCAAATTAGTAAATTAATGAACGTCCTATCCCAGTTTTGCTAAGAGATTCTAAGGTAGCCTTAACCCATAGTGATCAAAGCAATAAAAAGTAACTTTTCTTCACAAAGAAGTGAGAGACTCTGACATTGTCATGTGAATAGAAAGCATTAGAAAAGGAATAACAGCTCTGTAGAGCAGAGGTGAAACCAAGACTTATGGGAACTTACTTAGAGCTAACACACACACTCCTTACTCTGCCAAACACGATTTTAAGCTTTTTACATATATAATTCATTTAATCCTCGTAACAACTCCCTGAGAAAGGTTATTATTATTACCCTTATTATTTCACACATGAGGAAACAGATACAGAGACACTAAATAACTTGCCTGAGATCGCAGATACTAAGTGGAAAGGGCAGGTTCTAAACCCATTTTGTAGATTCTAGCTGTACTGGTTTCCAGTGGCTGCCGCAATGTTACCCCAAACATGGTGGCTTAAAACACAGAAATGTATTCTCACAGCTCTGGAGGCCACAAGTATGAAAGCAAGGTGTAGGCAGCACCACGCTGCCTCCAAAGGAAGATCCTCCTATGCCTCTACTAGCTTCTGGCTGCCCCTGGTGTTCCTTGGCTTGCCACAGTATAACTCTGAAGTCTGCCTACGACTTCCCACGGCCTTCCCCTTGTGGCTCTCTGTAAGGACACTCATCATTGCCTTTAGGGCCCACCTGAAATCCAGGATGACCTCATCTCGAGATCTTAAACCTAATTACATCTGCCAAGACCCGGTTTCCAAATAAGGTCACTTTCACAAGTACTGGGGGTTAGAACTTGGACATTTATCTTTTTTTAAAATTGTTTTATTGAGATATAATTCTCATAACATATAATTTGCCCACCTAAAGTATATAATTTGATGGTTTTTAGTGTATTCACAGATATGTGCAACCAACACAATTTTAGAACTTTTCATCACTTCAGGAAAAAAAAATCCCATATCCATTAGCTATCTCTCCCCTATGCCTTGCCTCCCTCTTTCCCCTCCTCTCCCAGCCAGCACTAAACAGCCACTAATCTACTTTCTGTCTCTACAGATTTCTCTGTTCTGGACTTTCATGTGTCAGTGCTTCACCCCTTTTTATGGCTGAATAATATATCATTGTATGGATATACCACATTTTGCTTACCACTGATGGGACATTTAGGTTGTTTCTATCTTTTGGCCATAATGAATAATGCTGCCATTTATATACAAGTTTCTGTGTGGGTATGTGTTTTCATTTCTCTTTCATATATACCTAGGAGTAGAATTACAATCTCATCAGCAGTGTGTGATAGTTCAATTTCTCCATACTTCTTGTTATCTGCCTTTGTAATTCTAGCCAATCCAGTGGGTGTGGAAATCTCACTGTGGTCTTCATTGCATTTATCTGATGACTAATGATATTGGCATCTTTTCATGTGTTTATTGGTCATTTGTACCTTCTTTGGAGACATGTCTATTCAGATCCTTTGTCCATTTAATTGAGTCACTTGTCTTTCTGTTTGAATTGTATGACTTTATACATGCTAGATACAAGTCCTTATCAGATATATGATTTGCAAATATTTTATCCCATTCTGTGGGTTACCTTTTCACTTTCTTGCTGGTGTTCTTTGGAGCACAAAAGTTTTCAATTTTAATGAAGTCTTATTTTTAACTTTGTTGCTCATGATCTTGGGTGTCATATTTAAGAATCCTTTGCCAAATTCAAGGTCATGAAGATCTACCCCTATGTTTTCTTCTAAGAATTTTGTAGGACATCTTTTGGGGGGGCCACTATTCAACCCACTGTATACCCACTCACTATACAATCCATCATAATAGATAACTATTATTTAACTCCAACAAATTTCATTGGTGCAAAACAACATATTAAATAAGGGTGTGGTATATAATCATTACTGGCCTGACATTAACTGATCCAAAAGAAATCTAGGCACTTTATTTTCTAATAGTCTAGTTTATAAATAGGTAACAGGTAGCTACATTTCAGAATCATCAAGGAAGATGCCACACATACACTTAAAAATGTCTCATACATAAATTTCATTAATTAGTGACTATACATCATGTAATTAAAAGAGCTAAAGCTCCAAAGTCAAAGACAGACCTTTGTTCAGATCCTGGCTCTTGCCATTCACTCACTGTGCAACCTTGGGGATGTTATTTAACTTCTCCAAGCATCAGTTTCCTGAAAATACTTCTGTTACAAAGATAAAATTAGATAATATGTACAAAATATTTAGTAAAAGACCTGACACGTAGTAGGTACTCATTAAATATTAGTTTCTTTTCTCTCTCTTTTAAAATGTAAATGTCTCCTTCACTCAAGTATAAGTCTTATTCTTCCTGTGGCCTTCCTTCACACCTACCTAAAATTAGCAACACTAAAAAAATAAGAATTTTGTTGGGAAATGGAGGTAAAAGGATAACTTCAGAATATGAGGCAATTCAGGCAGAGCATCAGAAAGCTCCGGAAATCTGGCAAGCAGCAGAAAAGAGATTCACAAAGGGATGATGACCATTTCAGTTCTCCATAGGCAAGTTGTTAAGTGCTACAGGAATAGAGGGAAGCGTAATGGCATTGGTCACAATTTGAAAGGCCCTAAGCTTCTGCTTTGCCAATCCAAGGTATATCAGTTTCCATTCAATTTCCACCTCTGTATTACTAGAAGGGGTAGGAAAAGGAAGAGAAATTCATGTGATCTTTCATAAACACACACACACATGAAAACTTCAGGAACATTATTCTCCAAAATGCCAGAAGAATATGCTGTTATTACTTTGATTAAATTCTGTATTTAACTGAAGATATTTCCTCTATTTAGAGACCAAGTACCATTGTTACTCTTACAAATAAATATATAAACCACTGTAAAGTGCCAACATCAAATAGATGTGTTATCCCAAAAAGTAATATCCATCTCCTCAAAAAAACAATCCATCCCAGACTGAATATCAACTTGGAACCCCTTACCATCCTTGAAGATGGTAAAGCCACCTTTCCCAGAACAAAGAACTGTTCAAACCTCTCCAACAAGTCTAAGTCCCTAAGCTACTTAAGGTTATCAGTAAACCTGCTGCACTGGTGGTACAGTGTCAATATTCAGAGACTATATGGGCATAAGCAGCCACAACTCTACCCTGAAAAGTTCCAAGATGATACTCACACATCCTCAAACGTTTAACACTGCTGCCACCCCCAGATGGCATACAAACCATGATGGAGAAGGAGATGGAGGATATCCAGACCTGCAAGTAGCCGCTAAGTTGCTTAAACCTGTTCTTGATGTACGCATTCCATTTTCTCAGTATTTATTTCAAGTCTATTACCTAGAAGTTGACTATTTATTTGTTCTCTAACCTTTTTCTATATTTCTCAGGAATTTTTTAGTATTCACCCAGTTCTGGGATTACATTCAGCCCTCAATTACCATTCTACAACTTGTACAAGAAGAATTTCCTTCATATCTTGAAAAAAAACTTTAAATTCAGTTACTAGTACACGGTCTCGCGTGTGCGTGTGTGTGTGTGTACACATATTTTACATATCATATAATATATACACATATAATATTACATATAGAGAAATAAAATTAACAAGTTAACTTTACAAATCCATTGTGTATACTTCTAAGAAGATGTCATTTATTTGAATGTGGAACATCAAAATCTAGAAAACATTTTTAAAAATCAAAATCTAAAAGAATCGGGGGCTTCCCTGGTGGCGCAGTGGTTGAGAGTCTGCCTGCCAATGCAGGGGACACAGGTTCGAGCCCTGGTCTGGGAAGATCCCACATGCCGCGGAGCAACTGGGCCCGTGAGCCGCAACTACTGAGCCTGCGCGTCTGGAGCCTGTGCTCCGCAACAAGAGAGGCCGCAACAGTGAGAGGCCCGCGCACCGTGATGAAGGGTGGCCCCCGCTCGCCGCAACTAGAGAAAGCCCTCACGTAGAAACAAAGACCCAACACAGCCCAAAAAATAATAATAATAATAAATAAATAAAATTTTAAAAAAATCTTAAGAAAAGGTCTTACCTGTTCACCTGCATCTAGAAACTCTTTGCATGCATCAGGGAACACATCATAAATAATGAGTGGATAGCCATGTTTCATGAGATTTTTTGCCATTGGATTCCCCATGTTGCCTACTCCAATGAATCCAACTGGAGTCTTAGAAGCCATTGACCTAGAACACACTGATTTCAATACATTAGTTTTAACAGGAGCAGATAACATGTTTTATCATAAATATTCACTCAATATTAAGAAGTCAATTGTGATTTTGATATTTTCTATTAAAAAAACTTTTTAAAGATTAGTTTTAAACTAATGATCATTTAAAGATATCAACAATGTATAGGCAGACTAACTTCTGAGTATATAGTTCTCCAGGAAGCAATCATAAAATTTTAAGCATTCTCTCTTCCGCTTTCTATCTCTATAACATCCCTTTACTATTTTTAACAATAAACTTAATGTTATCATTTATTAAATACCTATGATCTACTTTACCTGTTAAGTGAAGTATCCTAGATTCTCTTATCTATATTACCTTCTCTAATAATGTGTATTAAAAACTGGAAGTATTCAATAAAACCTGTATCTTGGACAAAGTCCAAGAATGGGAAAACGTTTTACCTTCCCACTTCCACATTTATAGAAACCATCCCCTCCAATGGTATAAAAAACAATCTCAATAAAAATGTTAAACCCAGAAGAATGTATTTCAACCAAAAGTCACCAGCTTATAAATGGGGTCCTAGGAGAGAGCAGGGGGACACTTCCATGGGCTTTCCATGGCCAGGGTAACAGTCTCGGGACCCTGAGATAACAACTCCGCGCACTTTCAGAGAAGAGGCATCTCCATTTACAGAAAAAGAAAATTGTTCTTAAAATGCTATATGCAGGGCTTCCCTGGTGGCACAGTGGTTAAGAATCCGCCTGCCAATGCAGGGGACATGGGTTCAAGCCCCAGTCCAGGAAGATCCCACATGCCTGCCGCAGAGCAACTAAGCCCATGAGCCACAACTACTGAGCCTGCGCTCTAGAGCCCACAAGCCACAACTACTGAAGCCCGCATGCCTAGAGCCCATGCTCCACAATAAGAGAAGCTACCGCGATGAGAAGCCCGCGCACCGCAACGAAGAGCAGCCCCCGCTTGCCGCAACTAGAGAAAGCCCGCACACAGCAACAAAGACCCAACACAGCCAAAAATAAATAAATGAATTCACAAAAAAAAAAAAAAAAAAAGCTGTCTGCAGATTTTGATTTGATTTTCTTCCTTTTTACAAACGGCTTTTTGAAATCACACTGGGGCATACAATTCAAGGTAATGCTTTTTGCAAGAGAGCAGACAGGCTTCGCATCACCATGAAAATAATATTAGACACGATTTCTCTATTTCTAGATTTAGAACTCCACTCAAGTATTTACTGCAAGAAGTACTATGACACAAGCAAGATGTGGTCCTTGCCCTCCAAAAGTTCACGGTCTAGTGAGAGAACAAAGAGAAATAACTCCACTTGCCCATTTCCGTATCATTTCCTGGCTTTATTTTTCCTTTTTCTTTCAAGGACTCCAGTTTTAAAACTGTATAGTGCACCAACTAATCACAGTCACCCTTTTTCAGATCCTCCCAACTAATGGATCCCTGCTCTTCCTTCAACTTAATCTCAATGTAATGAGATTTCCTAAAAGCAAATTATTTGAAGCCCTAATGCTTAAAAAATAGAGGTCTTCTTGGGTCAGAAGCACATTTCATTCCTATGAACTCCATGACTGTCTCTAACATTTCTGTTAAAGAGGGTGTCATTCCTGTGCATCATCGCCTTATCAGTGCTGAGTTTAACGTGCTGGGTATGATAGGAGTCCTGTGCCTAACTTTCTGGTTCACAAGGGGTTTAATGACAGAGAAATGACACCTCACTGAATTTTTATTTTGATATTAAGCAGAATGAGAAGTATACTTTGTAAGAGAACTCTAATACTAACAATTAGCATGCCTGACTACTGTGTTAAGCTTGAAAAGGTATAATTTAACTAAGAACATTAGAAACTAGGAATATTATTATTTAAATGCAGTTAATTTTAATAGGCAACTCACTCTAAGTCAAACACTTAACTATGGCAAGGTAGAACCATAATTCATTCACACATTCAACAAATATGAAGCAACTATCGTATGTACCATGGCAGATGCCATCAAAGACACAAATGACATAACAGTCCTTGCTTTCAACCAGCTTAAAAAACAAAGGACAACTATGTACACAGACACTAAAACATGAAAGTGAAGGATAAAGTATGAAAAATAATGCTGATACTAAAGAACTCATCTGGTTTGGGAACTTGAAAAAGCTAGCATTTGACCTGAGTATTCTAGGATGGGTAGGCTTTCAAATGGAATCAGAGTAGGAACAAAGGGAGCTCCATATAGAAAAGGAATGACTATGCACATGAGTATATGCAAGGAAATAGGAAAGCCAAGAAAAAATGAATAATAATAAAAGTTAATATTTGTGGCAATTTTACTACATGCCAGACACTATACTCAGTACTTTATAAATAGCACTGTCATCCCATCCTATCATTAAGCCTATCTTCCAGCTCAGGTCCCTGACACTTGGTTAGTTTAAATAAAATGCCCAAGACTTTATAAGGTTGTAATGCCAAGATTCATATTCAGCCAATCTGACTCTAGGTTCTTCATTTTTAAGTGCCCTCCACTCTTCCTACAGGACGCACAAAGAAACAAAACAGCAAGATTAAGATTGAAAGAAAAAATGCAACCATAATGTCGAAGGCTGGTAAGTATGCTCTAAACAATTTGAGTGTATTTTGTAAGCAAATGGTGGTACCACAGACTGAATGTTTGGTCCTCCCAAGATTTCTATGTTGAAAAAATAATTCCCAGTGTGAGGGTATTTGGAGGTGGGGCCTTTGATTAGATCATGAGGGGAGAACCCTCACAAACAGGACTAACGCCTTTACAAAAGAGGCCGCAGAGAGCTCCCTCATCCCCTTCCACCATGTGAGGACACAGTGAAAAGATGGCTGTCTTTGGACCAAGAAGTGGGCCCTCACCTGACACTAAATATGCCAGCACCTTTATTTTGGAATTCCCAGCCTCCAGAACTGGGAGAAATAGTTCTCTGCTGTTTATAAGCCACCCAGTCTATGGTATTTTGTTACAGCAGCCCAAACAGACTAAGACAGGTAGTTACTGAAAGGTTTGGGCAAGAGAAATGACCTGACCAAACCCATGCTTTAGGACAGAAATGAGGCAGCAGTGTACAATGGATGAACTAAAGGAAGAGCCTGGAGGCAAAAAGACCAACATAAAAGTGACTGTCTAGGTCTGTCTTAGTCCATTCCAGCTGCTGTAACAAATATACCATAGTATAGTTGTTATGATGACTTAAACAACAAGCATTTATTTCTTACAGTTCCGGAGGCTGGGAAGACCAAGATCAAGTAGGCAACAGATCCAGTATCTGGTGAGGGCTCACTTCCTGGCTTGCAGATGACCATTTTCTTATATCTCTGGAGAGCAGAGAGAGAGGACAAGCTCTCCTTCCTGTTTTTAGGACACTAATCCCATTCATGAGGGCTCCACCCTCATAACCCAATTACTTCCCAAAGGCCCCACCTCCTAATACTACCACAGTGGGGATTAGGATTTCAACACATGAATTTTGGAGGGTTACAAACATTCAGTCCACAGTGAGGGCAGAGTTAATAAAGACTGGTGGCTATAGAAAAGACAGATATGAAAAATATTTCAAATACAGTAGTAAAAGGACACAGCAATAGTTTGGATTATAATATCAATTACAGAAGAAAAGGATAGTGACCTTAAAAACAAAGCAACAGAAACTATCCAAAACAAAACACAGAAAAAAGAATTTAAAAAATAAAAAAAACATTAGGGAGCAGTGAGACAGCTTCAACCAGCCAAATACATAGCGAAACTGGAGTCCTCAAATGAGAGGAGAGCAAAGTGGGGACAAGAAAAATATGTGAAGAACTAATGGGAAAAATTTCCAAATTTGATGAAAACCCCATGCATCCAAGCTCAGTGAACCCCAACACAAGAAACATGAAGAAAACTATACCAAGACACATCATAATCAAAATGCTCAAAAGCAACTGGCAGAAAAAAGACATTATGTACAAAGGAACAAAGATAAGAATGAAGGCAGATTTCCTGTCAGAAACAAAGCCAGTGAGAAAACAGGAGAGCATCATCTTTAAAGAACTGAAACAAAAAACAACTGTCAAGATAGGAATCTATCTAGCCAGTGAAACTGTACAATTATAGATGTTTGAGTATGTAGAGAGGCATGAGGAAACTGATGGGGGAGGGGTGAATGGATACATTCACTGTCTTGATTGTGATGATGGTTTGATGGTTTCACAGGTATATACACGTCAAAACTCATCAAACTGTAAATGTTAAACAGGTGCAGTTTATTGTAAGTCAACTATATTGCAATAAAGCTGTTTTTAAAGAGTCAACATGTTTACAGAAAAAACAAACAAGAGAAGACATTTCTCAATCTAAAGATACTAAAGTGATATATCAACCGAATGCAATGTGTGAAGTTTGAATGGATCTGGATTTGGGGCGGGGGGAAGTCTTATGACATTCTAAGGAAAATTATGAAATTTTAAATATGAGCTGTATATTAGGATGATACCAGGGAAGTGCTAACTGTCTTAGGTAATGGTAATTTGGTTATGTAGGAGACAGTCTTTCTTAGGAGATTCACACTGAATCATTGAGGGTTTAAAGTGTCATAGTGTCTGCATTTTAATTTCAAATGATACAGGTGGGATAGGAATATACTTGGAAAGAAATAAAGCAAATATGGCAAAAGGTTGGTTAACAACCGTTGACACTGAGCAAAGGGTACACAGATGTTCATGGCATTATTCTTTCAATACTTTGTTTGAAATTGTTCATAATAAAACAAGGGGGGAAAACTTAGCACATCTCAAAAAAAATCACAAACATGACAAAATACAAATAACTAGGAAGAACACTTGCAACACACGATAGAAATAGGGCTACTTTACTATATATGCAAATAACTTTAAAATCTGGAAGAAAAATCTAAATAATCCATTGTTTTAAAGTATGCCAAAATCACAAAATGACAGTTAACAGAAAATATTAAAAAAAAAACTTTGAAAAAATGCTCAACTTCTGTCATAACTAGAGTAATGCAAAACAAAGCAATGTAATACCATTTTCACCTATCAGCTGGACAAATGTGTTTCTTTGATAAACTCACACCTAGTTAGAAAGGACTGATAAAACATATACTCTCATACACTGTAGAATTGTATTTTATGTCATCCTTTTAGAGAGCAATTTGAAAAAAGGATCTACATTTGAATTTTATTATAAAATTTAAATTTAAAATGTACATACCTTTTGACCCAGTAATTCCATTTGCAGGAATTTATACTATACGTAAGGGGTCGACACACTTTTTCTTAAAGGGTGAGGGTGTAAACAATTTCAGTTTGGGGCCATGAGGCCTCTGTCACAACTATTCAACTCATCCACTATAGTTTTAAAACAGCCATACACAATATAAAAACAAGTGGCTGTGCTTGTTTTCCAATATAATTTTATTTACAAAAACAGGGACCCAGCTATTGGGCCACAGTTTGCTGACCTCTACTATATATAAACTCTGAACAACACAAAAATATAGTTTACTATAGGAATGTTTGTAACAACAGAAACATTATAAATAACTAAATACACATTATTAACAGAGCACTTAATTTTTAATAACTAAATATACATTAACAAGGTACTTGATAGTTCATAGAAAATCAATACAATGAAATAGTATGTAATGTTCAAAAGAATGTGATATATCTATCTAAAAGCATAAGGAAAAAAATCTCCAGGACACGTTATTAAGTGAAAAAAAGCAACACGCAGAGCATTATATATAGTAATATACAGTATATGAGAAAAAAGAATACATAGGCATTAAACATTTTCAAGTTTCTGTAAGATGCTTAAGAAACAGCAGTTACAGCCAGAAAGTTGGACTGATGGGTCAGAGTTAGAGAAAAGACTCTTTTACTTTTCATTTTATAACCTTTTGAGTTTTTACCATGTGCATATAACTTTTATGACTACTTTTATAATAAATGAAATAAATAAATTGGCACACAGTGAGTGTTTAATAGTGTTATATGAATGAATTACTAACTAGAGAGAGTCTTCATCAAATGAGGATAAAAGTCAGCACTGAAGCAAGAGTAAAGATAGTGATAAAGTGGATCCAGCAAAGGTAATTTGTATTGCAGCAACCATTAAGCAAATGCTGCAGGTTGACTCTCCAATATCCTTTCCTCCCAGACCTATGGTGAAGTTCCAAATTATCTAAACCAATTATGGTACCTCCATCTCTCTGCAAATGACTGTTCACAGATTGGCAGCCCTAAGTAAAAGATTTAGAAATGCTGTGAAAAATCAGAGTATGTAATAGGAAATGAACTAGAGATTAAAGAAAAGATTGTATCTAATCAGCAAACTCTTGTGACTCTCAGTACCACTACTTAAGCGGCAGCCAGGAGGAAGAAGAAACTAGCCAGAAAATTTGGCAAAGTTAGCTTCTAAATTTATAGATGTAAATTTACAGATTATGACCTTTTCTCCAATGGGACATGGACAAAGTTATCCATATCTTGGTAACATGAAGTGCCACCAAAAATCAGGCGACTCTAAGTTTCAAAATACAAAAATTGGTAATAGGTATTATTTTACATTTCTAAAAGTTTTTTTTTCTCTCATCAAAGTAATTCATTGTAGAAAACTGAAAAATACGAAAAAGTATAAAGTCATAAGGGAAAAAGTTAATCTCACTACACAAAAATAATCAGTTAGCATTTTGTATAGCCCTTCCAGTCTTCTGAATGCATTTTTTCATTATGAGACTCTATACTGTATACACAACTTTGTGTCCTACTTTATCACATATTATGTCATAAGCATTCTTTTTGCTTTAATGCTAAGAGTTACTAAACTAAGAGTAGTGACTTACTCTATAAAGGCCTTTATTATTTGGGTCAAGTTATTTTAGAAATACAGTTGACCCTTGAACAATGAGTAGGGTTGGGGCACTGACGCTCCTCACAAAATCCAAGTATAATTTACAGTTGGCCCTCCACAACCTGCTCCAAATCTGCAGGTGAAACCAACTGTAGTACAAATTTATTGGAAAAAAATCCATGCATAAGCTGACCCATGCAGTTCAAACCCATTTTGTTCAAAGGTCAACTGTATTCTCCTTATGCAATTTCACAAGTTTAAGGTCAACTTTTGGTCCCCAGAATCATGTGCAGCTTTTCAGAGTTTCATGTGCAACCCTAGAAGCTAATGTAGAGAGGAAAAAAATGGCATATATTTGATTTATACAACGAGTTATGCTGTTTTGAAGGCAGATTTCATACACACACAAAGAGCCAATAATAATAAAGAACTGTATTCCCATTTCTGTCTATAATGCTGGCTAATTTTCCCACTCCACTTTTGGTCAGGTGGTCGCTTTAAGATGATCTGTTACAAATTATTTTTCCTTGTACTTGTTAGTGAATCAAATGACTGTAGAGGGTCAACATCTGTCATTTTTTTGTCTGTACAAAGAAGTCTGAAACTAAATTTAATTACCTTTTAAGATAAAACATAAAACTTACTTTTATTAAATGGTGATGAAATAGTAATGTATGAAAAAATAGTAATGCATGTCTAGTTTAATAGTTCTCATTTTTCTATTTCCTTTTCAGTGCTTTAAATATTTTAAAAGTAAGACATGCTATTACCAGCAACTTTTAGATCTCATTTTTTTCAAACTAAATAACTGTATAGATCTTTATAATAATACCCTCCATATGATATAAACATCTTAAACATACCATGGAGACAAACATCCCACAGAATTCAGAACACTAAATAATGTTACTATTTGAACACAGTTCTTTTTCTTAATGTCCCTAGACTCCAAACTGGCACATAATTTTTCTTTTAAGACTCCAACATCAAAAAAGTTAACACTTTTGTAGTAAATTAAAATTAACAAAAATGTTTAAAACAATTCCACAGAGTAAAAACAATTACTGAAGCATTTTAAACAATCATCACACACACAAAAAAATTTTTTTACTTTGTCATAAATCTATATTCTTACAATGTATTTGGGTCAAAGAACAAGATTATATGCCAAAGTAGTCTACCAGCATTTCAAGGTAGGCCTTTCCAGTCTACAGAAGCATTTATTATAGTCACAGGCCTCCGACTCTTCTTCCATGAATTTTAAGAACTTTCCTGTAACTCTAAAAGGTACTTCAAGGGTTCATTAAAATACCGTTAGAACACCTTGTAAAACCACTAAACAGCACATATGTCTTCCTTGACTAATCAAAACTGAAAGAATTGTGCATTCATGTGAAAACTGGTGCTACATTTACTACTGCAGAAAAGTGATTTTTTTTAAGTATCTCCAATGTAGGAGGCATTTTTTGTAGTTCAATACATGTAGCTCAAACAGTGGTTACACTCAAGTTTGGCAATTTCTGTGAGTTTGTATCTCATTACTGTGATTCTGTATCAGACATCTGTTCTCTCCCATCACGTGGAGCTTTCCCGTTTAAAGCCAGAGAGGAAATTCACTCTTCTGCTTAGATTTTTACTGAGGGGGAGGAAGGGAAGCTGTTAAGAACTCAATTCCCAGCCTTTTTTTTTAAAGTAAAGATCAGAGAAAATTAATACCAAGGCTTTTTCAATCTTGCAAGTATGAGAGTGCTAAATAGTGCATTTTCAAAACTAAAAATTTTACAGGAAGACAATGGCAGTTTCCCCACAAATCAACCTATTTTCCAATTAAAGAGGAATCCTGCTGTAGATGAAAAGTGCAGGAATCATAAAGAATCAAGGACTACTTTCTAGATCCTGCTGTAATATCCTAATTCACTAATCCAAGGGGCTTTAGGTTCTTCCATCTGAAAAATGAAAGATTAGTTCTCTGTGGGTCTAAAAACTGCCTCTTCCTAAATCGATGGTTAGCTTCCATAACTTATAATGATATGAGGGGTGGGAGGGGACGGAAGCAGGATAGGTTCAGGCCACAATTTTGAGAACGTTGAAAGTATTCTGGTTAATAATTTGACAGAAGTACCATCTTCAGGTAGCCCAGTTACAGAGAAGCGGTGGAAGCCCGCCTGGCCGGTCAAGGGTGACTTAAAACTTTGCTGGAAAGACTGATCACCTGATTTGTAAGACTTCACTTGTGTAAAAACATCAGAAACAATTAAGGTGATTAAAACAAAAATCAGGGCTGCGGCCGGAGAGTGCGCCCACCCGGGGCGCTGCAAGGCCAGCCAGCGCTGCAAGGCCAGGGGTCGCTGGGGTGGGTAGGGGGTAGCCCCTGGGGCTGGGCCCTCCAATTGTCCTCAAAGCCCTAACTCCAAAGAAGCAGGACTCGGACCCAAACACTCCTCTCTCTACCCCAAGCTCTTCCCATTCCTTCCTAAGTCCCAAAAGGACGCCGAACCCCATTCATCTAGATCTGGGTGGGGAGAATGGGGGGAAGCACTAGTGGCGCGGGCCGCAGAAGAGGCCAGCCTTGGAACCAGTCAAAATGTTGGGTTTTAAGCCCCGATCCAACCGCAGCGCCTCCGGTGAAAAGACCTCTTCAGCCATCAGGGCGCGCAAAGCAGGCGGCCGGAGGAGGGACTGGGGAAGAAGGCGCGAGGTCCTTACCCGCTGCAAGGCTGGCCACTGCCGGTTGCTGCCGGCGGCTCCAGTACCGGAGGCCGGAGGCGGCTCCACGGAGCCGTAAGGAGGCTGCCATGCTGCCCCTGCCCCGCCTCCCCACGGTGACCTCCGCGGCTCCCAGCTCACCCACTGACTGCTAGGGTGCGTGGTGCGGCGGGCGGGATCGGCTGCGGCGTGGGGCCGCATGCGCACGCGCTCTGCCGCTCGGGGCGGGCACCTACCCGCGAGGGGAGGAGCGCGGCCCCGAGAGGCGCGGCCCGGCGGGACATAGGACGTCAATCCCCTTACGGACAGGGAATCAGACCAATCAGAATTCCCACATCCTCCGCCCTTTGCGAACCACGAATAGGAGGCCTTCTCGGAGTAGCACATCCGGAGCCCTGGCCCCGCCCCCAAGTTCGTCCCTCATTTACAGACTGAGGGCTGGAGTCTCCTTGTTTACCAAAACGCAAAGGGTGTGTGGGAGGCTTCGGCTGTCACTCACGACCGCCTCCTTGGAGCATCTGACCCTCAGAACCGCCCCCTTGGAGTGTTGTAACTGCATGTGTTGCTTCCTTGCAGTCAAGGGCATAACTTTGACTCGCGGCAGCTGCTGCAATAGTTAAGCAAGAGCAGAAATTCCCAGTCCTTACAAGTACAGGGATCCACTTTTAACCTCAGTAAAACGTGGGTCTCTTGATGTTAGCATTTGTATTTTTAGTGTCTGTTCGTTGAGAAACGTTCACAGAAATCTACCATGAATGCAATAACTGTTTAAAATTATTTGATTTTATTTTACCCAAAAGTTTCTCCATGAACTTGAAAAATTGTAGGAAAACAACTTAATATTGTTTTCTTTGAAGGATAGAATTGCTAGAAACTTGCACTTTCTATTCCAGTATATATTTCTCTAATGTTTGAAAATCCTGCATCCATTTCATAAGTAAAAACTAAAGGTAAATGAAAATGCAGAAGGTAATGTATGTGTGTCAGAGAGAAGGAGTCATTCATTTCTTGTATCTGTGCTTGGTGTACATATTTGAATCTTTGAACCCTTGGGCGATAGCGGGGTTCTCATCCTCTCTGAGCCCATGAAAGGGTTGGGAGCCATGGGCACACCAATGAAAGACTTGCAGTTTTTACGGAAAGGTAGTACAGGAGGAAAGAGTGAGGAGTGGCTAGGGAAATAGGAACCACTCCCCTGAATTCATTTTATTTATTCACGTGCCTAGGTTGTTCTTAACCTTTTAATCTGAGTAGCAGAATCAACAGAGTTGACTTTAACCTTTTTTAACCTCTGCCCAGTCACTCACAGGTGTTGAAAGTACCTTAAGGAATTGGGTAATTTCCAAGGAGGCTCTCTCAGTGTTCTTGACATGCTAGCAATGTTTCCAAAAACTGGTTCAGAGTGCAAGATCCACATTTGTAACTGATAGAGAAACAATTCCCTTCTTTGCCTTTTTCTCCACCCTAACCCTCTACTCCACACAACCCAAAACTCGAGAAAAGGAGGAAGACAACAAAGAAAAACTTATTTCAGGTATTGGGGATAGTCTCCTAGATTTGGGTCCCTGCCTAAATCTATTTATTGCTTTCTGGAGCATTTCCTACTTGATCCTCTCTTCCTGGTTTATTGAGTTTTAGCTGGAATAGACCTCCTGCAACCAATAAACGTAGCCGTACAGGTTTCTATAATTAACTGCTGAAATGCTGTCTGCCTTTCAACTATGTGAACCTACATAGCAGAGCTATTTACAACACAGGCGGACATATCAATTGAACTCCCAGGTTTATATCCTATAAGGTTTATATCCTAAGGTTTATATCCCTATCCTCTTGAGATTTTATATCCGATCAGATGGTTTTTGTCATTTTTATTGTGAGCTACTGTTTTTGTTTCTCTCGGTTGTTTACAGGGCTCTCCTCTCGAAAATGAATATTTCTTTACAAAAGTCTGCCTCTTATGCACAGCATTCTCCTAGGACTGGAAGGGGAGAGAAGAAGGAACTCAGAAAGAAGAGGAAGCAGAGATAAAGCTGCACATGAGGGCTTTTCAATTTGCTTTTCTTAAAAAACCAAACCAAACCAAACAGATGTGCTGGCTTTGAAAAGGGAGTGAGCAGCATTGAAAGTTTGATGATTTTGGCTCAACTAGGACCAGGGGATAAGTTATAATTTCTCCATATTCCTACATCATGTGTTTTAAATATCTCCTCGTGGTAGCCCTATATTGATTCATAAATTAAGGCTCTAAGATTTTCATAAAAGTTTTCTCATAAGTATTATGATTTTTTTAAGTAACTGTTACTATTTGAAGATGCTTACAGATCTTATTGGATCTGAAAAGGCAGTTACTCCTTATGGCTGGCTTTATTTGATTGCCTTCCTGATGTCTTTGTTGGAAGGGCCCTGTAACTTCTCCCTAAGTCACTGCCAAGTAGTTTTGCTTGAAGTTGTGTTTCAATGCATTATAGGCTCTTTACTTCTGCTTCTGGGAAGAAGTGGTGGATATATTTTTCTCTGTTCCTCCCACTAAGTACAACAAAACTCTGGACATTATATCTAAAATAAATATAATGAAACTGAGTCCCTCTAAAACCAAATTCCCTTAGTAAGTCTATGATTAATCTCTCTACGCAAACCTTTATTCCCTTTCTTGTCCTACCCCTGTACCCCTCAAGATTGAGGAGTATCAAAGAAAAAGGGGAGTTTGAAACTGATCAGGACCCTGAGGGGCCTTCCCAGGTACATAAGCCCCTCTATGTCTTCCATTTCTTGTTTGCAGGAAAAAAGGCTTTAGTCTCCTAGGCCTTTCCTGTGTTCCAAAGAGCAGGCTCAAGCAGTTAATGATTAGGACTGTAGAATCACTGGACTCCCTCCTAAAGGGATATAGATAACAGTCTGATGCATATCTTTAAGTTGCTCTACAGACACTAAGACCTTCACCCAGGTGGAGGATGGTGACTACACCCTGACGGCAAGCAGGTAGACCCCAGACTGGTTGGGATGAGAAAGCTGAGATTCCCAAAACATCATCTTGTTATTTCACCACCAACTGATCAGAAGAAGCTGATCATGCATTCTACAGCCCTCTACCCTAACTGTCTTTAAAAACACTTGCCTGAAAGCCATCGAGAAGCTCAAGTCTTTCTGAGCATGAGCTGCCCATTCTACTTGCTTGGCACCCTGCAAATAAACCCTTAACTTTTGCTGCAAACACCCACCCAAGTCAGAGTTTGGCTTTCCGCACTGTGGGCACACAAGCCCTTGCTCTGTAACAATAAGAAGATTCTGAAAGGTGGAGAAAAGAAGGCATACCAGCTAGAGACCACAGGGTCCTAAGAGGAACACAGAGGTAAGTTCTTGGGTTTTCATTTAGCCTTTTATATCACATACTAGGTACTGGAGAACCCAAAAATCGTAAACCCAAAATTGCTAAGAGGCACAAACCAAAATGCCCCAGGAAAAGCCTACTCTCTTTAGCCAACAGACCAAAAAGGGGCAGCATAGCAAGACAGATAACCTTTAGAAAATAATCACACTACTGTAGACAAACACTGCATAATAAAAACCTATGGCCCCACTCCCACCCATGCTGGCAAAGGCCAGGTGAGGAGCCCGCTTCCACATGCTAAAGGCCATAATGAGACATCTCAACATCCTAACGCCTCAGTCCCCCTACACCTCAGTCCCACTAGTGTGGTATCAGAGAAGGCCACGTAAAGAGCCAGGACCTTTCCCATTTCTGGATGGTAACAAGTACCTATCCACACATACTCCCCACACCCCTGTCCCCAAGGTGTCACTGGAGACCACATGGGGAGCCTGGACTTCCACCCCCAACTGACAGTAATGAGGTACCCCTCCCTCTCCTGGCTAGGGTGGAGTCAGAGTGGCCTAGCGGAGAGGCTGGACTTCCTCCACTACCCTCCCCACCATGGTGTCAGTGGAAGCCACGTGGGGAATGCTCCTACCCCTCTTAGCTAGGGATGCGTCAGTGGAAGCCCAGTGAGGAGTTGAAACTGCCACTCCCACCCGCCAGTAATGAGGAGGCCCACCCCCACCCCATAGGTGTCAACAGAGGCAAAATAGGGAGCCTTCTATCCCCACCTGGCAGTAACAAAGACAATGCCCTGGGACTTCCCTGGTGATCTGGTGGGTAAGACTCCACTCTGCCAATGCAGGGGGCCCAGGTTTGATCCCTGGTCGGGGAACTAGATGCCTCATGCATGCTGCAACTAAGAGTCCGCAGGCTGCAACTAAGAAGACTGCAGGCAGCAACTAAGAAGCCCGCATGCCGCAGCTAAAGATCCCACATGCCAAAACTAAGACCCAGTGCAGCCTAAATAAATAAATAAATAAAGACAATGCCCTCCTCCGTGCCCTTGCCAGAGCAGTGGCAGAAAAAGCCAGCTAAAAGAGGGGATTAAAATAAGATCCAGAGTGCCATAATATCTAAAACATCCAGGTTTCAATCAAAATCGTTCATCATACCAAGAACCAGGAATTGTGCAAACTAATGAAAAGGAAAATGTCAATACAAAGGTGACAGAAAAGTTAAAATTATCTGACAAATATTTTAAAGCAGCCATCAGAAAAATACTGTGATGAGTGGTTAGAACACACTTAAAACAAATGGAAAAAAAAATAGTCTCAGCAAAGAAATAGAGGATATAACAAAGAAATAAATGGAAATTTTAGAATTGAAGAATGTAATAACTGAAAAAAAAAAAAAAGTGAACAGGAAGCTAGAACAATAGAAATTACCCAATCTCAACAACAGAGAGAAAATAGACGGAAAAAAAACAAAAAAACAAAACAAACAAAAAAACAAGGCCTCAGCGGTGAAAGTGACAACAAAATATCTAACATTCATATGCTCAGAATCTGGGAACGAGAGGAAAAAAGACTTTCCCAACAAGGCCCATGCTATCTAATCATTTTTACAACTGTCCCCAAGCTATTATTCTTTTTCACTCACCTCCATGATAAAATGATACTATCTCCCTTGCCAGATGGCTCTGAACTCCCAGGTTCTCTCTCTCTCTCTCTCTTTCTCTCCCTTTCTTTTCCACCACAAGTTCTGATATCCATTCTCTACCCCCTACTCTTTAGGACTCAGTTCTAAATGACCTTCCTCGTACAAACTCCCAGTTATAAAATATTTCACAGGTATGAAATGTGCAATGTGGGGAATATAGTCAATAACAGACCTTATGGTGACAGACGGTAACTAGATTTATCATGGTGATCATTTTGAAATGTATAGAAATATAGGATCACTATATTGTGCACCAGAAACTAACATA